ATGACAAAATGGAACCGTGACCATAGAATTTTCACCTGAATGCTTTGGTCTGTGCTTCTTTCTCTACTACCCCATCACCAGTTGACGAAACTGGAGAGTCTAGAACCACATGGTTTTTAGCTTCCGCTGCTTCCGATGGCCTTTGAAGTAAAAAAACAGGTTCGCAACGAGTTTGCAGAAATGGAAGAAACTCACCCCAATACTGGCTGGAATCATGGACGGAGCCCAGTGGAGCAGGTAGTGATTCACATAAAGTACGTTGGCCGCGTGATCCTCCGGCAAGGTGATGATTTTATACTTATAAGAGACGACCCGTTTCATGTCCTGCAAGGGGAAGCCAATTTAGACGGTAGGTGATGAAATTCTCAAACTAAATTTTCAGTGCTTCAAACAAAAGCAAAGTTTGCGACTGAAATTATTTGCTAATTCTTATTTCAGGGGTCGACAAAATGGGCTAATTTAAAAACTAATGGAAAAGACATCACAGTGAATAATATAAATGTCGGCCGATAGTCTTCCGAAAAAATCCACCAAGAGCTCTTAACCTCTAAACTGACAGGTAATGGACCTAATCTCGTCCTGACTGGTTAAAGTCACAACTTCAGGGATGAACGGAATAATACGGAAGGGCCAAAACTCTTCAGTGATGGGTCTACCACAGAGTTTGTTAGAATTATATTGTAGAATTTTTCTGACCTTAGTCTCGAGTGGAAGTCCGACTATCGCCTGCGGCTGTAGACAGCTGATACATGCAACAAGGTCTATAACTCAATACAGAGCTTCGACTATGGGGTTAAACTAGGCGATGGTAACTAAAAGGTTCATTTGTGAGACAGGTTTGGTGTACAGGACCAAAGAACTGGAATTCAGAGTTACACAGCTACGAGCGTATTTCTCTCCCATGGGTCTTCACGTGGGACTTTCGCTAAAGTCTGTCACGAAATCACTCATTTGCTTTCTGGATACCGGGGCTGTTTGCCCAACGCAAGGATGTTTCATGAGAGGCGGCGAAGCGCATCGGTAGTTATTTTTACGCACACAATCAACTTCATGGTTCGCGCCGATTGGATGAATTTAAGTGGACATCGAGGTGTTCGTTATCGGTTAGGCGGCTACAGAGGCATTCATTTTGATAGCAGTGTCAACATCATGCTTTAAAAGAGCCAAGTACAGGGATGGTTTGTCAGAACAGACGAGAAAATCAAAGCCACAAGCGGAAATAGGGCAGTGAAAGTGATTAAAAACATATAAGACTCACGCTTAGCATTTCCCGGGCTGCTTCGCTTCCGCCAACAGCCAGTACGTTTATCCCCGCAACACCAACAGCATCTTTGAGCGAACGGAAAGGGGGTCGCACCTGAATCATTGAAGTTGCGTATTCAGGAAACGCGCGAGCGACAGCCTGCGCTCCATCTTCATTGGTATGGCTTGATATGCCGACAATAATTTCTTGCCCTATGCAGACCAAGACAGAAAGACATTAGATTTGAAAGTTTCGTGAAGAAATACCGTTCACTACTGCTTGTCACTGAACTGAAGCGAAAGTTTAGGTACATCGAATATAGTGGGTCCTTTCACGCCCAGTTTTCAGACCTCTTGCAAATCCGACATAATTGATGGGTTGGCTAGTCCAGTAATAAAGATCGGAACAAGTCTAAAAGTGTGTAAGTTGCGAATCAGTCAACAGTTTTCGCTCCTTATTCTCAGTTGCCATTTAGAAGCACAAGGGGTTGCTTCTAGTATGCAGGACCCAGGTCTGTTTTGAAATCAGCTATAAAAATAGTGTATTGGTGTTAACGTCTGGAGGGAACCACGTCAACAATGGATCCGTTAGATAATTTGGTACGACCGGTAAGCCATAAACGCTATTATGAATATGAAACTGACCTGAACCGACCGTTATAACGTGTCCCACCATTCAAAGACAGACATGCTGTAAGGCTTCCAGAAGGTATAGCATTGTTGTGTCAGGCTAGCTTTCACTCGTAGGGCAGAGTGGTCTCAGCAATTATCAACTCGACCATCGAGCATAGGGTAAAATGAGCGCACGTGGCTTTTATCTAGTTGTTTACGTGCTTCATCTTTTTGTTGAGATAAGGGTAGAGCTAGCTGGGCGTCGGAGATGATCATTTTGATGCAACAGAGCGACCGATTGTGTGCGTGGGCCAAGACTAACAGTGTCCTCAATTACTGATATTCTATAAAGATGTTCTATGTAAGACAAACGGAAGGGACCTAGAAAATCCCGTCTTGCTGCAATTCACTTTACATCACAAATGAAATAACCATTGTGAGAATAACTAACACATTCTGAACCAATGAACCTGCCGAGTAAGAAATAAACGTCTACGGGCAGAAAGCGTACGAAACTACACAGGATGATGCAACACAGCTGGCTCTTTTGAGACCTCTCTGTAAGGAGCTCAATAGTAAGGAGAGTCCACAGTAGCGCTTGTGATCGGGACTTTCGAAGGAAGGTCACCCCCAAAGATGGGTCCAAGCGCCCATTCCCCTGCCGCTTTATACCCGAGGAGCTACTGTAATAAGTCCATCCAAAAGGAACAGAGACTGACCTGTGAAGAGCACGTCACTTCCTTCAACTTGGGCATTCTCTGTATTCAACTCGACAATTTTCACTCCGACTTCCTTTTTCAGCGTCTGACGTATCAAGTTTACCTGAAGACTCATTACAATGAGAGCAGTTCCCTCACCTCGCCTTGTCGATGAGAACCGTGAGGATTGCACATCAGTGCTGTTCCGTTGATTATCACGGCTGTATCATCCACCTTCACACACTCAGGATGTCGCTCTTCAGCTTTCAGTTCCAATATATCAATGCCTATCCGCCGCAATGTTTCCACAAACTCCGTACATTCATTGTGTAACTCTCTCAAAGATCCTGGATTGTCTACAGTCCCCTTGTCTGCACGGAAGGAGCTGAACGAGTCCGGAATTTTGCTGACAATAGCATAAGCGTATTGGAAGGCCATTATTCAGATGTAAGGGTAGGAAGTTATCAGAGGTGACAAAATTCGGCCAGGCTACAAGGAAAATCAGAGGAACCGCTGAACGAAGTGAAGAACCATCAGGTAAGATAGATAAACATTTCGAGCTTGCCTACTTTACAAACTGCACACAAAAATATGGCAGTGAATGTGACACACGGGGTCAGAAATTACCGCATAAATAATTGCTGCGGAAACAACATATACAGTTCGAGTCACTAACGGTGCTGCTATGGGCGCCCCTGAATCGTCCCTCCATCAAGTAAAATACGATGTTCCTTTTATAGTTAACCCCAGCGCAGAAACCTGAATAGTACCTCAAAGAGGCCCACCAACGTCCTCGGCCCTAAATTACTTGTTGATGAAGACTGGAGCGATTCTACATCAACTTCTCCACCAAGGTGGACCAATCTACATCCAACTGGGTCATGACTTTCTGGTTTCAATCTCAACACATGGGCAAACAAAACCACCATTAAATGGTAAAACGACCAGGGAGCACAACGAACCACACCTGACTGACGCTCTGGGGCTGGCGGTGCCTGTGAGTAATCAGTAGTCAACAGTCATTCTGAACAACAGTGAAGCCAGGAGAACTACGAGGGTAAATCACCCTCTCAAAGTTAACTGGGTCCTAGCAAGAGAAACAGTTCAGTTTGACTTCAATCTAATAGTTCTAACTCGTCCTTCCTCTGAGAAAGACAACTCCGCTGCTTCCAGAAATATGGATGTGCCAGACACCTGCGAAAAACAATCCGCTGTCTTCAAATCCCTACCACAGACGACAGTACAACTTGATCCTGAGACCGCCTCGTACTACTGTTATTCGACCGAATCGGAGCACAAGCCCTGTTGAATAGACTGACCACCATCATACCCTTTTGGCATGCGCCTTGTACCTTCAAAGTCATGCTTCAGAACATGCAGTCCCTTGCAATTCAAGGAGAATCACTGAAGATTTTGGAAAATTTCACGTACCTCGGTAGTTGTATTAGCTCTGACGAAAATGTGTCGAATGAAGTCAGTGCAAGAGTCTCAAAGACTCAAACCACGTTTGAAAATTTGCATCATTTGGGGCGTCAAAAAGGCATATCACTATATCTTAAGGGTCGCGGGTACCAGGCTACAGTAAGGGCTGTGTTGTTGTATGCGTGCGAGACATGGCCTCTGCAGACAGATGGTGTGAGGCGCCTTCAGGTTTTAGACCACCGATGCCTCAGAAGCGTGGCTGGAGTCGGATGGCGTCAGCGTGTTAGTAACGAGACGATTAGAAAACGGGCATTTGGAAGGGCGGTAGGTACTTTAATCGGGGACAACATCCAGCATCACCGAATACGATGGCTCGGTCATGTGCTACGCATGCCGAAACACCGTGTACCGAGACGAGTGTCGTTTTCTGTGCCTCCTTCAGAATGGCGCAAACCGTGAGGTGGACAACGGATGACTTCTCAGAAGGGTATGAAAGAGATCGCACAGAGTTTGGGTGTTGTTGGTATTGTACGCCTTCCAGGGTGGGGTCCCTATGATCCCACCCGTACTTGGCCGGAGACGTTGCAAGAAGTGGCGGCTGGTCGATATCAGTGGCATTTCGTGCAATCAATCTCTTTCCAGATTGTCTGATTGAGTACTTGGAGGTGTAATACTAGATGGAGGTGGTAATGCTAGTGCTAGACTTCAGCCACTGTATGTGCAACCCAAAGACAATATATAATCTCGTCTAATGGTAACCTGTAAACTGGAACGAGGACAGCTCATCGATGAATTTCTGCAGGAAATGAATTCGACTGCATACTGTTGCGGTTTTCAAGCGTTGGACGCTCAGATTGATCAGTTTATCCGTGTTATCTTAAGCAAGAACGTTCAGTCGCATCCAGCTTGACAGTGGCTTCTTGAGCGCGCAGTTGGTTTCGAGTAGGTTACAGGTCTTTATCGATCGTTGGAAACGGAGTTTTTCTGATGGCTACCGTAGATACAGGATGGTCGGAAAACTACGCAAATATCACTAGACAGCCGATCCTCCTCAATAACAAATTATGTGTATCTCCACTGCATCAACAAGCACCACAGTGGGTCAAATTACGCATATATTGTCCACTAACATATGTGCTATATTCGCGCCAAACGTTACACATTCTCCTGCGCGTCCTGTTGTACTTCTTGACCACAGTTTCCCGAGACTTCAATCGGTGGGTGAGATACCAATCAGAGGAATTATGCGTGCTTTTCTGTGTGCTTTCGAAGCCGCCCACATTGACGGTCCACTGCTAACTGAACAGCTCTGTTTATTGTAAACCTATCGTATGACAATTAATGCTAGGAGGACTGCCTCCAAACAAATACACTTGCTAAAAATTGGTCTTGCACACTGAAACCTTCTTCCTTTCTGTTATATCTTCTGATTCGCCAATCTGAGGTATATGCTGCCGACCCGCTCCAATGCCTAGTGCCGGAGAAAAAAGACTCACAGAAGGGAACACGACAGCTATATTCCGAACAAGCGAGTACGAGGGCGTGAGTGCGTGCGAGTGCGAAAAGTACAACGATCTCAAGCTATTTATTGGAAAGACGCTATGTGAACTTAGTCCAATTGTGACGCACACGGTCTTCCTTTGATGTGAGGCTGTGGCGTGCTACATATTACGGGGGCGTTGTCTGACCTTGATCAACGCTGACTCGCGCTGTCTGGGTTTGATACAAGGCTGTGACGCGCTGGATGTTGAGGTGGCGTTGTGTCTGGTCAACATCTATCGGAGCAGAGAGTCTCGGTGGATTTCGGGCATTCACTGTTTGCTTTCAGGAGGCTGACCTTTCTGATACCTCCATTTCAGCCTTTCGTTCACATCCATTTGGACTGCTCGTTTTTTATATTCTTGTTCATTTGGATCCATATCACGGAAGGGTTCAATTGTTTCCAGTACAACTCCCTCAAGATCATATGTTTTGTCGAGTCCGGTATAACTGACAAGTCTGACCGATACATCAGTAGAGATCATAACAGTTAGAAACCATTATTCATTACTGATGTATTGCTGTCAATGATGACAATGATAAGTCTGACCCATCAGTAGAGATCATAACAGTTAGAAACCATTATTCATTACTGATGTATTGCTGTCAATGATGACAATGATAAGACCTAACTACGAAATCATGACATCATTCCGTCGCACACTGAAGGCCTAACTGTTAGAAATTCAAGAGGTTGAAAGGATGGCGTTATTGGGCAGTCTCGTTCTTCAGCAATGGCTCAAGTCTTGGTTAGAACTGACGAAAGATGCGACAGACGAACGGCCGCTGACTTAAACCACTCAATCAATCGTTACACATATCTAAGAGCTTATCGATTATCAAGAACAAACAACCTGGTTCAGAAGATTTCACGTTTTACTATGCTTCGTCTACATAGCGCTTACCATCAGATGCCCGTACAAGGGTCCGAGCGGAAATTTACGGTTTTTGAGGCTTGTGAGAATCCCAATCGATTCCTTCGTATTTCGTTGTGGTCGCTACTAGCGTTTCTGGAAGATGAAACAGGTCCGCGATGCATCAACGATGACATCCATTGTGGTTAAGCAACGCCGAGTATAACGGAAGCCATCATCAGTTTCCGGAAGTCACGATGAAATACACCATTACATTCAACGACTGCGTCACTGGAACTCGAAAAACAACCACATTTGGATAAGTATCTTTAGGGCTGACCAGTGCGCTGCGGTCGTTTCTTTTCCATGATGATCATGAATCACCATAAATAATTGTGGGAAGGTCTGTGAATTATGCCAAGTGTGCTCCCCGGTTCTCGGAAAGAATACATCCTTTGGTTCATAACAGCACCATCGCTCTCCAGAAATACCTAGGGGCGTTTAACCATTTAACACAAGGACTGAAAATTGCAACGATCCTCACAACGGATTTTGTGCCCCAAAATCAGTAGAAACAGATATCTCAAACGCTTCTGTCACAGCAACCTCAGACCAGAATGATCGATCCATTGATTTCTTTCCGGGACTCTACTGAATTTCCCGTTCGGAAGAAAGCTCATGCGATCATCCGAAATGTGCGCTCATCCCCCGGGTATATCCCTCCAACTGACTAACGATATTCCATATTTATGCATGAACTGAAACTGAATAGTACAATTAGGAAGAAGGAAGTCAATCTATGGAGGACTGAATTACCCTCATACGATTTAAATATCGTCTACAGACCCTGAGACATAATTCGCTGGATCACACTTCATTGCATGCGCCCGGGTCTGCCACGGATCCAGTGTATCCCCAGGAATTTCATGTTTTGCTTAGTCACTATAGCATTGTTCGAATGGCTCATTATTTGGCTATTAAAAATTTACGTTATTCGAGTGACGACGCTAAGTATGCAATTCTTGTTTGTTGGGCCTGTGCCGGGACAAGACAAAGATTTTTTCACGAAGCCAATTTCAGATTTATCAAAGCTACTGAACCAACTGAACGACTTAGTGTGGGCTGTCAATCACCTGTCCCGTCAGTGAATCGCATCAAAGACAACCGTTGGTGAGCATGAGGGTTTTCCGTGCTCAGATAAGACATCAGACAATTACTGATAGTTTTGGTTGACCATTTATCACATTTGACAAGTCTGCTTACATCCTCACCATAATCGTCATTGATATTGACCAAGTGAGGAAAACGGTGTGAATAAAGAATTGAAATGGGTGAGCCTACTAGCACTTCGTATCGGCCACTTATAACAGGACGCGGCTCATCAGACATGAAAATACCTGGTACGTACCACAGGCTCTGTAGTTCTCCACCCAGGCGACAGTTCAACCTTTGACCTCCGGAGTGGCGTAATGGGATGTGATTAGTCGTTTGAAGGCCTTAGAGAAATCTGGATATAATATGGTCATGCAGGACCATCCCCTAACACTAGTTCGCGGGTCAGAGTGAAATGGCTAGTTAGATGGACGCGAGAATGGTCATCGGTTATATCCCCCAATAATTTGGAATCAAGCATTACTTGCGGTTGGTTGCTAGGTGAGCTTTGTCGACATCCTTATGGACAGTGGTAACAACTTGCCGAATCCAAGCTTTCGAGAATTTTTCACCGGAGTATAAGCATTGGTGGAACGCACCCATTGGGTCTACAACTAGTACGGAAAACTCTCCGTGGCATAGGAGGAATATATCATCACCACACCACCATTGTCATCACAACACCAGATGAGAACACTGGTGCTTCACTACCATACAACCGTGAATTTGTTTGACTCAAACCCTGTAATGGAGTGTGGCAGAGAAGGAGGGCTTAGCGCCAGTCTACTGCAGAAACCGGAGGTGCTTACATCTTTGATACTCATTCGGACTACGTGGATAGAAACCGACAACATGAGCGTCCCTGATACCGGTTAGCGCCATATCGTTTAGCGTCACCAGTCAAGCGCATGGAGGGGCAGGTAGATTTATTCCTGAAAAATGAACAACTCCACAACTTCCGAAATACCCTTCACTGCATTCTGCCACATCCAGTTCTGTCTACCTGTAGTCTCCTGCTACTCCGAATTAGGCACGGAAAACATCAATCATTTCGGCAAACAGTAACTCAGGGTGGACCATACACGATCCAACCAGCTAGGCTTATAGTACTGGGTAGATTCTTTGCGTGAAGCACCAGCTGTTTGAGACAGCCCAGTGGTTAAGTAGCGAAAGTAATGACAGGAGGATTTGCGGTCCAATCCAGACTCCAGCATCTTGGATGCTCTTGTCTAGGCTTGGGCAATCTCTCGGTATCCCAGTCCCCGATCCTTCCTTTGGGCGGTATGATGGATACTCGCTGGAATGGCGTTACAGCTGAACGGTTACCGAAGACCTTGTGAATTCGCTAGGTATTAGGCAGAATCCCATACAGGTGCCGACTTACCACTGGCAGTTAGGCGCTGCCACGGCCGAGAAGCCTATCCCGCACACCATTGGCCAGAAGTCGGGCTGTAAGTTTGGAACCAACAGCCAATCACGGATTAACGGATTGATACACAGGATCGAGGTTTTGCCCAAGTTTCCCTGGTCGGTTTTGTTCTTGTCGTTCAGCAACTGTCGTTCACCTGAAAGGCACAAGTGAGGAGAGAGTGTCGCACTGCTCTTTGTGTTCTCAGCGTGGGGCAGTATGCTTGCCAGCGCGAGGATTCGCATAAATAAATGTTTAGTAGTGCTTTGAACTGGGCTCTAGGAGGAGCGTGGACGACTGTCGGATGAAGGTCACTCCAAGCAGCTACTACCCGAAATGAGAAAACATTTTGCCCAATGAATGTGTGCGCTCTGAGCCTGAAAATCTTCTTACCATGTCCCCGCCATGTGTTTGCTGGGTCAACGGTGAAAAACCTGTCGGCCAAGATTTGTTCAAACAGGGCATAAGTAAGAATTAGGTCCTCTCGAAGGTGGCGATGCTCCAGGGGAGAGAGATCAAGCATCGCGAGACGGGTATCGCAATCCACAGATTTGAGGCCGGCAACAATTCTATAAGCGGCTCGTTGGACACGCTCAATGAGGGTGACGTCTTTCATGCGTCCTGAGTAGACAACTTGGTTGGCGTATTCCAGGAGCGGTCTGACGTAGGCCCCATCGAGTATTTGGAAGTCCATGCGAGTAATACGGGAGAAGGTGCGTCGGATCATCCGTAAAAAGGAGAATGCCTTTTGGGCCGATTTCTCATGGTGCAGTGAGAATGACAAGTTTGAGGAGACCCAGGTACCCAAATCCTTTTTGGCGTCTATCCTCATGAAGTTTTCTGGTCCTTTCTCACCACTCATGATAAAGGCATTCGCGAAGTCTCCGCTGAATGACATACGGACACACTTGGTCATTCAGAGGAAGGTGCCAGTGCAACGACCACTGCTTGGCAGCGTCTACATCCATTTGGAGGGCACTGACATTGGAACTCAAGCATTTCAAGTTGTCCGAGAAAAGTAGACATAAACTTGCAGGAACATCTGGGAGGTCGTTGACGTAGATCAGAAACAGGAGTGTTCCCAGGACGGAGACTTGAGGAACTCCAATTGAGACCGGCGTTGAAGTAGAGTAGGTCGAGCCTATTCTCACTCGGAATGATCTGCCTGATAGGAGCGCCTTGATCCAGTGAAGAACTTTCCCATGAATCCCGTATAAATCGAGTTTGTGGATAGTATTCCCTGTAAACCTCAGACACCACTGTTGTGTCACTCGTGGATTTCCCGTTCCTATCCTTCAAGGAGAACGCGGATGGCTTGTTTCTGCGTCGATGTTTCATGTAGTTGAACAGCACGTTTTTGTTTTTCCGAGCGAGGTCTAGGATGGTGGCATGTTTTCTTATGTTCCATTGACGGATTGCTGATTTACAGCAATTCCGCATTTCGAGAAATACCAGCTCAACTTTTGTATCCCCTGTAGTCGACTTTTTGAAAAAAGTTGGGACCTATTTTTCAGAAGTCAATGAATCCTTTTTGGCAGCCTGCGGCTGAATTGACTACTTGATGGTTTTTCGGACGAACATCGTGTCAGCCTCATGAAGTGGCCGGACAACTCTCCTATATAACTCTTCCATTGGAGCTGGTCCCAGTGTAACTTGTCCAAGGAAGATGTGCATTCCTGAGAAGTCTGCTCGGCAGAAATCTCGAAGCGATGTTTGAAGTTCGGGAGTTCGGGCCCAACCGAAAATGGAATCAAAGGTCAGCACACGATGTTCACTATGTTACGGTGGAGCGCTAATTGTTACCTGATCAACGAAGTGTCTTTCGTTAGTGATGACCGAATCCGGGAGGGATGGTAGTTGGCCTGCGCGGTATCTGATGGGTGCAACGACTTTGAGTCCAGGCGCTCTGTTCAACGACTTCAATCAGCATTGCTGAAAAAAGGCCGCTCGATTCGACGCGCTGGAGCTCCATCCAAGAGGCCTTTGGAGCGTTGAATCAAGTACCAGCAGATGCGTGAATTGGTAGCTGGAGGATAGTTGCTCAAGGGTTCGTATGAGGGATTGGTCATCTTCAGGGGGATTCGAGGTGCTGCGGTAGACCACACCAAGGAGAGAATCGGACCCGCGCAGCGGGAGTTGGATGCACACTGCGTCGCAAAATGGTGCAGGAGCTGTTTCAAAGAGGACAATCTGGATGGCTAAGGCCGCATGTAAATAAGGTGCAAGCCCACCAGCCCTCCCACATTTTGAATCAGCTCGAAAAATTTAGTAACCGTCTATCGAGCTCTCCGCGTCAGAGACATCTGGTGTGAGCCAGGTCTCTGTGAGTGCGTTTACAGACAGCTGATCAAGGCAAGCTGGCTGCTTAATACCGTAGATTTAGTTGAGGCTAAGGCAGTTAGCTCTCCGCCATATCCGAGGGTGTGAAACCGAAAGTTGGGTGTCCAGGGAGGTTAACTGACTTAATAGTTGTGCGTCGGGTTTGAGTCCAAGGGTCCAAAGGGGCCTCTTGTGCAATATCGTCTGCCTCCTGTCTTCGTGGTTGCTGGGGGTGTTTCTCGCTTGCAAGGTTTTTCCTTCCTTAAGAGCCCGTTTCGCTCGGGTCTTTTGGCTTTGGGGGACGCAGTTTTTCCCATTTGTGCGAAATCTTTGAACATTGCTGCTTGTAGTTCTTTCAGCACCGCCTTGTTGGTGGCCAGATTTGCTGTTGATCAAAGGTTTGCGGTAAAATTTTGCCTTTCTGGATTCTTGGGTGTTTTTGCGCGGTTTGACCGGAAAAGTGTTTCTGTGCGGCCCCGAGCACTGGCGACACCAAGAAGTAATGCTTTTGGTGGCGCTTCCATGGGGCTGAGGACTGCGCCTTAAAGCCGATCATCAGTTTTCTAATCTGACGAATCTTCTGGGCTTATTTGGCTGCAGTCGTTTTTCTTTCGCGTTTGTGTGGACACTCGATCCACCGGCGATCAGAGTGGCCAACCGAGCGTGCGAGGGATTTTCCGGTTGGCTGTAGTGACGTGGCTTTGGATGTTGTGGTCCTGGGCGACGGTTGTGTCCACAAGCAGAGAGGCCGCTTTTGACACAGTGGATCTGGAGCGTGGTTTCGCTGCTTATTCCAGCACATCTGGCTCAGTCCAGTTCAGAGGCTATGGCTCTGCCCAGGAGTTCATGGCCGCACCCAGTATTCGCCGAACGCCGGTTGGCAATGGCGCATCCAGACGGTGTCAGAATTTCCAGAATTTTGTTGTGGCACGGACTGTACATACAACGCGCTTCAAAACTGTTCTTGGCCTGGTTTTGGACGTTAATATATACTGTGAACATTTTTGGTTGTTTTTTATGGAGGCGATAGCTTGAGCAAAAAATTAAGCTGAGGAAAATGCCGTTATTGACCAGCTTTTATTGCCAGACATCAATGAACGGGGACTTAAAGCCGTCATATACCCTAGCTTGAAGTCCCAGCCGTACAACAAGACATCCCGCTGAGAAGTCTGGTACGCGCACACTTTGAGACCCAAAGGTACATCTTTTTGATTCCACAAGTAACGTAGATTAGCAAAAACACCTCTGGCTCTTGTAGTGCGTGTGTTCACTTCTCTTGACACATTATCGTCAGAGCTAACCCATTTTCGAGGTGTGTAGTGTCCCACAACACTCAATGTTGCTTTTTGGATTCTTAAAAGCATAAATACTGCACATTCTGATGCATGAACCCGCAGTATGTGGGCTTCAAATACATGTTTAACGACCATACTACTCCGATGAATTTTTCTGATGCTGCTCGGACTCTGCACCCTTTTCGAAAATTGGCACCACTATCGACTTATCCCAGTTGGCTGTAACAGACTCTTTCACCCAGCTGAGGTCAAATAAGCCACGCAGGTATTGGCTAGGATTACACTCTTACATTTAAACAGGGCTGTTGTTAGTTCGTCGGAACCAACAGTTCACCAACATTTAGGGGGTGAAGGAATTTGCCTATTATGGGGATGGAAGTCAGTTGTCCAGGGCTGCAAGACCAGTAGTTAGATTGGCTGAGATTATAGGTAGTTCATTGAATCTTCTTTTAATGTTCGAAGCCAAATAATCCGGGCATTACTTTTTCAGTGATGAGAGCCGCTTTCGTCGATTACTGTTCCACTCACTAGAGGCTTGTTTGGGCACGATGCGTGTGTCAGCTGGGCCTTTTATGCACATCCGCAGATTTTCCCATCTCTTCCATCTCCTCAGCTCTTCATATCCACAAAGATTCGCAACCAGTGCGTAAGCTGTTTATAACATGAAGTCAGACATTTCGTTGCGTGGTGTTGTATTCTCGATTGAGGGGAATAATTGTCGAAGCCGCGAGCATTTTTAATGGCTGCCAAGATGCGGCGTTCAGATCTAGTTGGTTGCTCCATTTCACGTGGAGAGTGCCCAGTATTTTGGAGGCTTGCGGACAGTAGCTTCTAGTGAGTAAACGAACCTCCAAGTTGTTAAGTGGGTAAGACGGAATCACTCGCAGGAATTTTTGTGTTCCAAAACCAACCTTGGCATTTCAGTCACCCTCGTCTAGGCTTGCGAAGCCTAGCACTGTCTCAGCTGTCTTTAGTCCTTTGGATAGCGTGGCAACTGCGCACTGAAAGAATGCAACCTTTGAGTGATCATGCGTCTTGTCCAAGGGCCAACATCAGGCCAAGGCCAACATCACCTCAATGTCCCGGAGATTCTTAGTTGACAGTGTGCAAGTCTCGCGCGCCCTGGGTAGGCAACACGAGGCGATAACAAAAAAACATGTGATCCAAATCGACGGGGCTACGTCTACCTACTGGTGCGTGCATGTCCTGGCAACCAAAACAATATTTGATCTCTTGACCCACCACCACAGTCTGTTATGGAGTAAGCAGATAAAACGAACTGCTATCAGTTATTAACGCGTTTGCGGAATACTGCCGAAGACGTCGCCAAAAGAAGCATGCAGATTCTGTTATCGGCCTGCAACCCCTCAAACACGGGCAGTTCAACTCTTCGGCTTAGAACGATGCCGAGCCCCGAGAAACCACCAGCAGCGGTTCCTATGTCACCAGTGTGCATGCCTAGAATCGGGTGGAACCAGATCGGGAGGTCAATTCGGCAGACGCATTTAGGCCTTAAATCCTCGCTACCGATAGACGGCACATATCATGAGAAAGTGAGTACATATTACACGCAACAGCAGTCTGTCATCCGGCTTGTTTCATAGCGCGAAATTTAGAGTCATTCAAATAAATTGGGTGTCGGAATTTGAAGAATGGTTTATATTGACCGTAGAAATCGAATCAACTGTAGGTATTCCAGCTGACAAAAATAAGCGGCCAATGAATCCATCGGTTACCCAGATTGGGCCTGAAAAGAGTTCGTCAAAAGGAAGAGCGAGCAAGTAAGAGGGGAATCTGGAAGGTGTCAGCTTCAGGCTTTTTCGCTTATCTGCCCTAAAGTAAGCAGCACATAAGGGTATGTGGTCGATTAAATTAGGCAGCGGTCTGTGTGGCATGAGATGATGTGACAGTAAATAATCCCGGTTGCGTGGAATGAAAAAACGAAAGTGTGCAGGAGCCACACAAGCGGATGATAACGGCTCACAAATAAGATTCTCGACTAAAAGGGATGTCTGCAATATAATGGTGTTAGCAGTAAGGATTAAAGACGCCTGTAATTTTGGAGAAAAATTTGAAGATATCAATACCAAACATGACAGGTCAAAATGAGTTCTGCACAGATAATCAGGCTTCGACTTCCCAAAGTTTTGGGCTGGCACTCGAGAATGTTCAACGGTCATTCAACAAAAAGTTCTCACCACAGACCAGCTTTCTCTCCTACTGATTTCGCTGTATAAGTTTGGGCCTT